TATATATATATATATATATATATATATATATATAGACTTGGGATCATGTGAGACCAATGGTTTTTCGTGAGACCCGTAAGACCAATTCTCAACCCTTGGATTAGATTTACAATCGTCAGATCTGAACAATCATAAACGCCACGAGACTTTTCAATAATTACAAAATTGCCACCTTGCAACTTTAGATCATTAGATCATTAGTTTATAAAGTTGATCAATGAATATAAATTAGTCTTGCGAAAAACTCATGGTCTCACGTGAGCCCAACCCTATATATATATATATATATATATGTATATATGTATATGTCAACCTCACAAACTATGGTAAATTCCAAAAAATATTAACCCTAACATGTGAGTTTGACCCCACATTGCCATGCAAGTTGGTTATATGTGTGGAATTTATGATCCTTTGACCAAAGACACAAAATGATGAAGAGGTTCCACATTATCCTCATTTTATATATTTATATATATACGGTTGAATTTCGGTGAAAATTCTTTTCTTTTTGTGAGAACCATGAGAACCCACTTGTGTCTATTGATCGTTTTTTATTCAATGCCAATCAATACATGTGTTTCTGTAAAGGAGGGATGGTTTTGTCCTTTTGTTTTCCACATACGGGCTAATCTGGTATCTTAAGGTAAAGCATGTTAATATTAGTTAAAGTGTGTTAAGGTTCTATGTTTTTCATGTTAATGCATTTTAAAATTTTCTTAGTATAAGGTATGTAGGAGGTTTGTTAAGGTATGTTAAAGATTTCATGCTAATGTATGTCAAGTAAGTTAAGGTCTATGTCCCCTTGCATCCATGCCATTGAAGTTCCATTTAGTTACATCTTTGCCATCATGTTTTTTTCTAGCATTTCGATCAAACAAAAAAAAATCATCACCGAGGGCTATGATGTGATTCTCACGAAAGATAAAATTCTCACATGATCCTGAATCATTGATCGTTAGTTTTCTTCGTTATATGTGCAAGTCACTTGAGGGCAATTTTGTAATTTTGCATGCTTTTTTTAATAGAAAAGTTATGTTTACAAGTTTTAAAGCTATGTACAAGTCATTAGAACATAAAAAAAACTAAATTAACTCATCCTTCTCCCACTTTTGATTCAACTATAGTCATGTTGTGTCTGCGTGCCTTTCGAATTGGAACATTAAGGGACGATTATTCTCGATCACAATAAACCACCTTTAAGTGAAGTCAGGATCGGTGGTCAATTGTTTGTGGATCACTGAATCACTTCCTAGGCCGTTCTTTAGGTAGTATCTCTAGGAGGCACTACATACTATTAAGAAATGGTGAAGTAGGTCAAAGAGTGTGTCGAGTATGTGAATACTTATAATCTTACGGAGGAGAACTTTCTTAAACTGGAGCAACAACTTTAAGTACGAAACATGAAAACTTTAGCACTTGATCACCAAAGTCGATGGAATACATATGACTTACCAACTGTTACTAACAACTTAAGAGTTGAAAACAGTTTTTTCTTGCTTTGATATGTCATACCTTAATTACAGTAAATGACCAACAAAAAAGAGAGAGAAAGGAGATGAAGGAGAGAGAGGGGATTGTCGGATGAGGGTGCGTTAGTGTAGGCGTTGTTGGAGATGCAGATTGCGCCGACAATGGTTGGAGAGGATGAAGGAGAAGGCACTGATGAGAGGGTTAAGGTTAGTGTATGCTAAGTTTTCTATTCTTCATTAATACTTTAATGGTTTGTACTCAAACTTTAATAACTCACATAATAAAATTTTATTAATATAAACAAGGTGACAAATCTGCTCTCATGTGATTAACACGTGAGGGTAGTTAATGTTAGTATGTATGCCTAAAAGTCAATCATTGGATGATTCTGTTTGGACATTGTATCATGATATTTTTATTAAATAAAAGAAATTATTATGTTTATGTATTATTCTGTGTTATATCTAAACAAAATAATAAACTTAGAATAATGTATTCTAAAATATCATTAATCAAGTATTAATTCATGTTTAGGTTGAATTAATATGGTACGACTAATATATACATAGAATCATATGGAGATATAGAATCCATATATTGGTACAAGATGGGATCTTGTGTACCGGATGTAACTTGCTATGATAATGTTTCATTGGATGTCATGTGAGTGTCATAGACATTTCTCATGTGATCATTGTATATATAGTACTTTGACTTCAGATCATGGATTTTGCTCTATGTGAGTGGTGTTCTCATGTCATCAGTCGTGTCGACACTTCCCTCTTCATCTACACTAAAGGGACATCGTTACTTTATCTACCGGTTTATGTACATGACATCCTCTTAACGGGCAACGACATTCCACTTCTATATAAGTTCATCATTCACGTTCACAAAACCTTCGCCATTAAAGATCTTGGTCGACTAAGTTACCTTTTGGGACTAGAGGTTACATATACTAAAAATGGCGTGTTCCTTAGTCAACAAAAGTACGCCAATGACATTCTTCTTCAGGCTCAATTACATGAGAACAAGCTGATCACCACTCCTATGGTTGTTGGACAACATTTAAGTCAATCTGGTATCTCACAAACGAGATCACCATATTACGCTAGATTACCACTTCGTTCGTGAATTAGTTCCAAGTGGATTGCTTGCAACTAAATTTGTCTCCAGCTTGCTTAACGTGGCTGATCTCTTTACGAAAAGTTTATCACAAACACTCTTTCTCCTTTTCAGATCCAAGCTTGGCCTTGGGCGGCCCCATGACCCGCTTGAGAGGGGATATTAATGCAAATAATTACAAATAATTAGAATCCTTCTCTAACTAAATTAGTTAGACGACTATCTTAATCATCGTATATGTTAATCTCTTTTGTAATCTATTATATATAATAAACTTCTCTCCCACAAAGGTGAGATGAGAAATATTCCATAACAATTCTCTACAGTGTATAGGCAAGTGTATACAAAATATGGCCTGTGTCATTTCCTAAGTCTTTGTGAATGAATCAATATTATGAATCAAGAATCCTTCGTTTAGTTCTAGAAGCATATATGTAAGCGAAAAAAAGGCTAGTTACATAAAATTTAAAAGTTTACTTGGGTTATAAAAACTTAGGCTAGCATAAGAGGTAACTTCACATAACTAGTGTGATGAGCAAAAAACAATTCACAGGTTTTTGTCATGATATTTTATTTTAGCAATAGTCTATCATGAATACAGAGACTCAAGAAAACAAAATAAAAATTTGGAGTTAGAAGTAAAAGAAAACAACCTCCTTCGATGTTATGTTGGATGTGCTTCACCATCCCACATGTGTATTTTGAGAATATGCTATGGTTTCAAGATTATGTCGACTTTCATCACATAGAGAGCTCTCACAAGTACCCCGCCAACGATAGAGCATGACACCGAGAATCTTCCCAAGTTTTTGAATTGAATATCACAACCCTTTGTTAAAATCATTTTAGAATTGTCTACACAACTTTGCTACAGGGTTGCTGTAGCTTCGTTGACAACCTGTTTTTCTTTCTGGACAGTAGCAATAAGTTGTTGGACTGCTGTTGCAGCATGCTGGATATATTCTCTCTCTCTCTCTCTCTCTCTCTCTATATATATATATATATATATATAGGGAGAGGTTCAAACGAGAACCCCTGTGATTTACGAATACGCAAGAACAACTCAATAACCACATATTGTGATAAAAAATAAAAATAAAAGATTTTTAAAATTAAACTTAAAATTTAAAAAGATTCAAAAAAATTTAAAATTAAAAGGATAATAATGGAAATGATATATTATCTAGAAAACGGTTAAAATCTTTTAAACTTATCATTAAACACAATCAAAATCTTTTAAACTTATCATTATCATCTACAAAACGGTTACGATTACAAGCCTAACTTCAAATCGCAAGAACTACGGACGGCGATGGTGTTGATCGACGGTGACCACAAAAACTTGGTCGGTTATATTTCACACCTCTAGACTTAATGARATTGGGCCGAAAAGCAAGTATACAATACGGCCCAATGTCGTCTTTCCAAGTAATAAGTGGTACAAGTACCGAGTTATCGTCCACAGGGACTGTAGCCGAAGTTAGATTAGAGTCCAATGAAAGAGATGATTTCAGATGGCGATTTCGAAGACTTTTCTCTGATTTTAAGGTTATCCAAAACAGAATACAGAATAAATAAAAGAAGCAAGGGTGTGAGACATAATGTGAGACCCAAACACAAATTCCAGCAGCCAATGTTATAGAAATGCTATAGCAAGCAGTGTTCCGAAACTAAGTTCCACCATCTATTTTGAAGGCATTCCTCTCGGACTTCACCATCTCACTATCATATAGCTTTCCACCCATATCTCTATGTGGTGTCCGGA